GCAGCTTAATGGGTCAGAGTAAAAGGAAAGGTCACATAGCTACAGGAAACCTCCACAAAACAAATGCCTTCTAGCTATGGTTAACTTTAATTAACTACAGTATTAGGATTCACTGCAAGCTTGTTTTTCACACATGCCCACTGTCTCTTGATAGTTTCCTTGTCAACAGAAGTCAAACTAGGAGGGGGAATGCAGGCAAGCTGGAGTATCCCTGCAAAATGGTTTAAGGAAGCGGGAATTTGCACACTAAACAAAGGTCTCCGGTGGGCATTTGAATGTGCGTTTAAGTGTCTTCAAGTTGCCTGCCCACTCCATATATTTCATTGGGTTTTCTTAAGCAAGGAATACTCAAAAGTAGTTTTGCCACTTCCATCCTAGTATTCCTTGAGGCTTTTCATTCAAGCAATACAAGTTCTTTTAAGTACATAGATCCACAGGAGGTTCGGAGGAAAACGGTCACTCCTTCTAGTGACATTCTGATGACCAGTCACCATATTTATATAATTCCTTTTGTGGGCTGTTGTGTGTTTTCCAGGCCATGTTCTAGAAGCATTCTCTCCTAATGTTTTGCCTGCATCTATAGCAGGCATTCTCAGAGTGAGTTTTGTTGAAAACTAGGAAAAATTATATATAAACCCTTTTCTCCTAGTTTCCAACAGACCTCACAACCTCTGAGGATGCCAGCCACAGATGCAGGTGAAACATCAGGAGGGAATGCTTCTGGAACATGGCCATACAGCCTAGAAAACACACAACAACCCAGTGATTCCTTTTGTGTGTTTTTTAAAAATCCACAACTCAATCTCATATATGTTTACATGGTCGTAAGTTACATGCATTCGGTGGGATTCAGTGCTAAGTATGTTTTGTGTGGAGCTACTATTCATTGGGTATGGGTTAAGATGTATTTCCATCCCTAGACTTGTTTGCTCATGGAAATAAAGCTTTCTCTTTAAAATAAACAGAGGAAAACTTGGGAATCTTATTTTGAACATTTATTCCAATCTGGAAAGACTTCAATGGGTTATGAGATCCATACGCATTAATATCATCCTTTTGGCAGAAGGTGTAAATATATAAAAAAGATTGTCATCATTTCGATAAGACAACATAATGGATGAGTTTCAAAACAAGCACAAAAACCCTACTATCAAGCAGCTTAGCTCTGAAAATCCAGGTACCCATGTATAGCCTTAAACTACAGAGCTTCACATTTATCAATACTGACAGGAAAAGAAACAAAAACTGTAGTTTCACAAATAGTAACAAAAAAATAAATCAAAAGGCCAAAAGGGCTGTTTATCTTCTTTTAAAGTGCCTTTTCACCTCTGTTTTTCAATGGGCCCAAAATGTAAATGTTCCTGGCTGCTGCTGGTAACCTATGGCACAGTTGACTTAGGAACTACCTCCTCATTCATGCTGCAAAACATTGAAACATCAACAATGTGAGGTTTGTTGACTACCTTTACTCCAGTTTTCCTCACTCAAAAAAGGCAAAGTTCAGACTGGGTTTGTTTGCATTCTCCAGCCAGTTTGGAGGGCCATTTGTATTTACTCCAAATGTATTTAAGGGGATCAATCTGATCCCCTTAAAAGGCACACACACACACCCCCCCCCCCCCCCCCCCCCCCCCCCCCCCCCCGCCGCCTTCCTGTCTCATGAAAATGCAAATGTCACTTTCAAAAACTTAATAAATGTGTATTTTCTCATTGTCAGAAGGAATGCAGTTTCATTTATGGTGGTTTTGAAATGTTTTCCAACCAGGCAGTGCGGGAGGGAGGAAACAACTCTCATATGCCTTTTCAAGCTGTCAAGTTATATCCAGCTAAAATGCCTGCGACATGAATTTGGCATGTTACCAATCAGTCCTATAGTAAAGTCTGTTTGTGTATTAGTAATGGATGCCTCCAGTGCCCAGGCAGCCTAATCTGTATGCAGGTTTACTCACATGGAAGACAGACTAAGGGTGCATCTTATATGGTATCCTCGGCATTGAATGTTGCAACTGTGTTTTATTTTGTTGTAAGCCGCCCTGAGCCCCCTGGGGAGATAGATTATTATTATTATTATTATTATTATTATTATTATTATTATTATTATTCTCAACTGTAGACTAAATGCAGTTTGAGACCACTTTAACTGCTATGGCTCAATGTTATGGAACCATGGGGGTTGTAGTCTTGCAAGATAGTCTTCTCTGCTAAAGAGTGCCAATGCCTCACCAAACTACGGCTCCTATTATTTCACAGCATTGAGCCATGGCAGTTAAAAGTTCTATCAAAATGCATACACTCTACATTGCAGAACCAGCCTAAACTGAATGGGATTTCTGGATTGTTGTGAGTTTTCTGGGTTATATGGCCATGTTCCAGAAGCATTCTCTCCTGACGTTTCACCTGCATCTATGGCAGGCATCCTCAGAGGAGGTCTGTTGGAAACTAGGAAAATGGGGTTTATATATCTGAATGGGATTTATTTCCAACCAAATCTTTCCGTGAAAAGGGCTCAAAACAGACCTGCTAGTCCTCATCTACTTAGAAGTAAGCCCCATAGAATAGTGATCCCAACTCAGCAAACACCGGACTTCAGCTGAACCCCAATTCACACTATCTTGGAAGTATAGGTGGATCTGTACTGACAAATAATGCAGTTTGAGCTGCATTATATGGTCAGTGTGCATTGTAGACCCATATAAAGCAATTTGAACTGCACTGAACTGTATTATATGGGTCTTCTACACTGACCATACAATGCAGCTCAAACTGCATTATCTGCCAGTGTAGATCCAGCCTTAGTCATATGCGATTCAGTGAGAATTGTTTCAGAGCAAAGATGCCCAGGAATAAAGAAATTAGGATTCAAATTTCCTCTATCTTTAATACCTCTTGTGTAAGGGGATCGCCCTGCAGCTGGGGAGTAAAATGGGAAATGGAAGGCAGGAAGCGTGGCAGGAAAAAATGCTTAGTCAGCAACTCTTCCTGCAATATTTAAAAGGTGAAATGTAAGCAGGCACCATGCCAATGTCTAGATAGATTAGGCAGCATCATAATGCCCTTCTCTGCTTTTGTGTGTACAAATGGCACAATTAGAGGATGCAGTTTTGTGGCACAATTTAGAGGCATTTAAAAAAATGGGGGGGGGGGGGGTAGGTAGATATTTAGTTTTCTCTGTTGTCCAAGCATTGGGCAAAGAAAAACTTACTCAGGAACTATTAATATCAATTGAATTTATTACAATGTACTAAGCTCCAAGGCACATTACAGTGTTCTGTTAACTACAGAAATGTATAAAGGACAAACAGAGCATTTTTTTTTATCTCCATGTACAGCAATGTTGCTCTAGTGTTCAAAAGCTTCCGTGCATCAATAATAAAGCAAAAACAAAACAAAAAAACACATAAAGGTTTTTTTAAAATGTTCAGATCAATAGGAAGAAACTGAAACATTTTTTTCTCCTTACAAAGTCGCAACAAAATAAAAACACACTCTATTATCACCCCACCAAGTTTGCAAAAGATCAAAAAAAGATTTTATTTGTTTGTTTGTAGTTTTTTAAAAAAGGAAAATTAAAATCGAAAGACAAATACTCCGGGGCTTGTAAAAATGTTAAGTTGCCATCGTTTTCGTAGCAAACTGTCTTAGGCATCAACACTGGCCTTGGCAAAAAGAAAAGGGGAGTTGTTTTTTTGTTTTTTGTTTTGTGGGTTTTTTTTTCAAGATTTTTTTTTTCAAAACGTTTTTCTTATTTTTTTTCCTTTTTAGAGAAGTGCATCATATACATTTACAAAAATACACACCAGCAGCAGGGAAATCATCATCGCTAAGGGCTATTTCACCGTGTACCTAGCCAACACACTGCCCAAGAAATGAGAAAGAAACAAGGATTGAGGTGGTAACCAAATATTATATTCAGTTTTAACAAAAAAGAAAGGAGAGAGGGGAAAAACAACAACAGAGGGAGGGAGGGAAGGAAGGGAGGGAAGGGGAAAGAAAATAACAGAACAGAATCCTATTGTTGAAGGCTTCCATAGCCGAAACCACTGCGTTGTTGTGAGTGTTCCTGGGCTGTATGGCTATGTTCCAGAAGCATTCTCTCCTGACATTTCATATGCATCTATGGCAGGCATCCTCAGAGGTTGTGAGGCAAGTTAGGTTGATATATCTGTGGAGTGTCCATTCACACTTTACTCAAACAGACAAGAGAGTTCTTTCTCCCAACTTGGACATTTCACAGATACATAAACATTACTTGCTAAGTTTCCAACAGACCTCACCACCTCTGAGGTTGCCTGCCATAGATGCAGGTGAAACATCAGGAGAGAATGCTTCTGGACCATGGCCCTACAATTTGGAAAACAACCCAACAGTGCTATCCCTCAAACCAATATAGAAACGTTGGATGAAAATAAGGTCTATACCAGGCCTGGGCAAACTTGGGCCCTTGTTTGTTTTGGACTTCAACTCCCACCATTCCTAACAGCCTCAGGCCCCTTTCTTTTCCCCCTCAGGCACTTAAGCGCCTGAGGGGGAAAAGGAAGGGGCCTGAGGCTGTTAGGAATGGTGGGAGTTGAAGTCCAAAACACAACAAGGGCCCAAGCTTCCCCATAACTGGTCTATACTGGGTTGTTATAGGTTTTTTGGGTTGTATGGCCATGTTCTATCATTCTCTCCTGACGTTTCTCCTGCATCTGTGGCAAGCACAACCTTTGAGGATGCTTGCCACAGATGGAGGTGAAACGTCAGGAGAGAATGCTTCTAGAACATGGCCATACAACCCGAAAAACCTACAAAAAAACAGTGATTCCGGCCATGAAAGCCTTGGACAACACACTGGTCTATACTGTTTGCAGAGGGAGGGAAGGGGAAAGGGAAGAAGAAAACAACATCTCTCTCTATCCTTCAAACCAAGAAGGGTTACATACCTTTTGTTTCAAAATATAGAAACGTACGACAAAAAGGTAAGGTCTATACATAAGCCTAAAACTGTTTGCCGAAAGGTCTTTTTCGTTTGAGTCTTGGATATTGTTATTATTATTATTCACAATAATACATCTTCGGGGAGAAAGAGGAAGGGGTTTGGGGGAAGGGAAGGAAGGGAGGGGGCGCCACCACCTTCAGGGGTCCCTCTCCTTTTTGACTTTGACGTCTCCGGCCAGGATGGTGGCGATCTCGCCCTGCATGAAGGCCCAAGGCACGTTGGAGCCCACCAGGGGGCACTTCTCCCCGCTGGGGCAGTAGACCTCGCCGGTGGCGCCCTGGGCCTTGATGCTCTCCCGCGAGCAAGGGAAGCAGAACTTGTGGCCGGGCACCGAGGGGCACTGCACGAAGTGGGTGTCCTCCAAGCGTTCGTGGCAAATGGTGCAGCACAGGGGTCCGCTGTTGGCCATGGGCGAGTCGGGGATGTTGGGAGGGTGGTTGGGGTCCAGGCTGGGCGGGGGAGGGGGAGGGGGAGGCGGGGGAGGGGGCGCGGAAGACGGGGCCATGCTCAACTCCCCGTTGCGGGAGGCCAAGCGGCGTGGGCCGGGCGCGGAGGCGGGAGAGATCGGGCTGCTGCTGTTCCGGCGCGTGGACGAGGAAGAGGACGAGGACGAGGAAGAAGACGAAGAGGAAGTCGTGGAGTGGACCGAGCTGCCGTCCTTGGGGGAGTGCGCGTTGCCTAAGGTGTCTGCGACGGACATCAGCGCCGCCATGGGCGACTGCCCGTTCTGTGGGGCCGACTCCGGCGGGGTGGTCCGGAGGGAGTGAGGGGGCGGCGGGGGAGGGGGAGGGAAGCCCCCCGTTGCCATGGTGAGCTTCAGGGCCTCGCTCTGGCTGGCCATCCACTGCTGGCGCTGCTGCTCCTCGCTCAGCTTGCCTTCCGAGGCCGAGTCGGAGGGCTCTGGGGAGGCCTTCCTCTTCCTCAAGCCGGTGGCTCCGCTCCCCGCTCCCGCCGAGCCTCCGGGCCCGCGACCCGACGGCGTCCCGGCCCCGCGTGGCATGCCCACCAAGGCGGAAGGCAGCATCGGGCAGGCGGCGTCGAGGAAGGGCTGCGGGAGCATGTCGGCGCCCACGGGCTCCTTGAAGAAGCGCACCGCCTCCGGGAGCAGGTCCCCTAAGAGGCGCCAGTCGCCCGAGCCGTGCTTCTTCTCGTACTCGAGGTACTTGAAGCCGGAGGAGAGTCCCCGCCCGAAGTCCTTCATGCAGTCCTGGTACATCTGCTTGGCCACCCCGGAGGCGCTGGCGAAGACGGTGCCGGACCCGGCGGGGTACTCCACGAAGAGCTTGAGCTCGTAGTCCAGGCCGGGCTTGGCCACGGCGTCGAAGGCGAAGACGCGGCCCAGGAGCGCGTGGTCCTTCTTGAAGCGCACCTCGTAGGGCGTGCAGTCGGCCAGCGTCAGCAGCGTCTCCCGCACCAGCTTGGGCTTGCCCGACCAGTCCTCCGCCCGGCTCCGGAGGCTCTCGTTCAGCTCGGCCAGCGCCTCCGCGTTGCGCTGCTTCTCCTTCAGCTCCCGTTCCGCCTCCGCGCCGCCCGAGGAGGAGGATACCGAGCCGGGCCGCTTCCCGCAGGGATCCCCGGAGGAGGAGGAAGACGTGGAAGAGGTGGACGAAGAGGAGGAGGTGGACGAGGAGGAGGACGTCGGGGGGCCGCGAGGAGGGGGCAGCGCCACGCCGGACCCCGCCGGCCCATTGAGCAGCGTCTGCGGGAGCAAGTTGGGCGGGACGTTGAGCTGGGCCCCGCCGCCGCCGCCACTTCCTTGAGGCAGGCCGCCCCCCAAGTGCGTCCCCCTCCGGGAAGACGACGACGCGGACGAAGACGAGGAGGAATTGGGGCTCTGGCGGTTCAGCTCCGGGGGCCCGTCGTCGGGGGCTTTGGGGAAGCCATTGGGCCCGCCCAGGCCGTTGGGGAGCCGCGCCGCGTGCGGAGGAGGCGGCGGAGGGTACTCGAACCTCCCGCGCGGAGGCTCGCTCAGCCCGTAGCGCTCCAGGCCCGAAGGCGCTTTCGAGGCGGAGGCGTCCACATGGTTCAGTTGTTGCTGTTGCACTGCCGCCGCCGCAGCCGCTGCCGCCGCCGCCACTGCCGCTTCCTTGGCGGAGAGGGGCAACGCTTTGACGCCGGCGCCGACGGGAGGGGAGCGCCCGTCCTGGAAGCAGCCGTGGGCCCGCTTGAGCTGCCGCGCCGTCTCGATGACGAACTCGATGCGGTCGGCGCCCTCGTAGTTGACGCACCCGCGGCAGACGGGCTCCGTGAAGTCCCAGATCATGGCCCACGGCATCCGCGGGAGGTCGCACAAGTAGCACGACTGGCGCCGCGAGGAGGAGACCGGCGCCGAAGACATGGCGGAAGAGGACGCGTCGCCTTCCTGCCTCGCTCTCGGGACTGCCCTCCTTGCCTCGCTTGCCTCCTCCGATCCGGCTTCTTCCTCTTCCTCACGAGGGAGGCTGCCGACCAGCACTTCCTTCCTTCTTTCCTTCCGCGAGGGTTCGGGGCTGCGGGGGAGAAAGGGATCCACGCCGCGGCTGCTTGGCAACAACAGTAGGGCGCCTCAGGGCGGCATCTTGTCTCCACCGCCACTTCCGCTTCTTTTCTAATGCTGCTGCTGCTGCTCAGGCTCCTCGGCTTCACATCCTCGGAATTCGGATCGGGGGAAGCCAGAGTGTCACTCTCTGCGCGACGCTCTCTTTCGCCTTCTCTCTCTCTCTCTCTCCTTTGCGCGCGCGCGCCTCAGCCCCTCCCCCTCCTCCTTCTTCTTCTTCTCCTCGCGCCCTCCGCTCGGATGCCCCCTTGGGCGGGGCTGCCTACGTCACCCCGTCGCTCTCTCTCTCTCTTTCTCTCTCCCCCCCTCCTCTTCCTTGTAAGCCTTTGCGATTCCCCTTTTGAGCGCCGACTGACTGACTGACCGATCAGCTTCTGCTTTGCTCGCCCCTCCTTCTCTCCCCCCCCCTCTCCTCTCCTCCCCCCGCTGGCAGCCACTTCCTCTCTTGTGTGTCTGAGGACAGGGAGCCCACTTGTTGCGCGGGGATTGCGCATGCGCGGCAGCTTGCCCGTTTCCGACGTCTCCTCTCCCTCTCTTCTCCCCCGCCTTCTTCGGGTGTTTACAACAGCTGAGTGGCTGCTGGGAGGCGAAGGAGGCTCCCCCCCCTCCCTCCTTCCCTCCCTCCCTCCTCGCTCACTCACTCACACACCGAGGGCTATGTTTGGAAAATCAAACATGAGATCTCTCCCTCCCTCCCTCCTTCCCCCTTCTCTCTCTCCCTCCCGCCTTGCTCTGTCTCCGCCAGGGCAGGTTCCCCAAAGCCGAACCCAGCCAGGAAAGCAGGGGCAAAGTCTGCGGGGGGGGGGGGGGGGGGGGGGAGAAATGTAGTTTTGATTTCCCACCTTTTCGCTTTCTGAAGGCCTCCTTTGGATCTCTGAGGATTGCGTGACCTCCTTTTCCTGCAGTGAAATGGATGGCAAATCATAAAGACGCGGAGGGAGTAGATCTCTAGAGATTTAATGCAGATTGATACCACTTTAAACTGCCGCGGCTCAAGGCTATGTAGTTTACAAAGTCTTTGGCCTTCTCTACCAAAGAATGCTGGTGCCTTGAGTGTGAAGAGTGGTGCCAATATGGGGGCTACTACTTACTTAACGGTGCTCCATTCAGTCATGCTGGCCACATGACCTTGGAGGTGTCTACGGACAACGCTGGCTCTTCGGCTTAGAAATTGAGATGAGAACCATCACCCCCAGAGTTGCTAAGCTGCAGATCTTGATGACTTGAAGGTCGGTAGTTCAAATTCGCAGGACAGGGTGAGCTCCCATTGCTAGCCCTAACTTCTGCCAACATAGCAGTTCGAAAACATGCAAAATGTGAGCAGATCGGTATCTCTTCAGCAGGAACATAACGGCACGCCATGCAGTTATGCTGGCCACATGACCTTGGAGGTGTCTACGGACAACACCGGCTCTTCAGTTTAGAAATAGAGATGAGCACCACCACCCACAGAGTTGCTAAGCTGCAGGTCTTGATGAGGTCGGTGGTTCAAATCCGCAGGACGGGGTGAGCTCCCATTGCTAGCCCCAGCTTCTGCCACTATAGTTTGAAAACATGCAGAATGTGATTAGATAGATACTGCATCAGTGGGAAGGTAACGGTGCTCCATGCATTCATGCTGGCCACATGACCTTGGAGGTGTCTATGGACAACGCCGGCTCTTCAGCTGAGAAATGGAGATGAGTACCAACCCCCAGAGTCAGACACAACTGGACTTAATGTCAGGGGAAACCTTTACAATTTCCTTTACTTAATTCAAATGTATCACCATTCTGTTTTCAGGCTGAGTATCCCATGGAAGATTGTAGGTCTTACAAAAAAAAAAAAAAAATACCAGCCATGAGTGCTACTCTATCCAGTTTCTCTTGGAGTCTCTTCTAACTCACCTTTCTTAAAAAAATACTAAGTTTACAATATGACAATATATAGATTGCTGTGAAAATGACAGTCATCAGCCTACAATATTAAAGCTCATACGTTAAAAAGCGAAACAGCTTTGCCAAGAAGAGAAGGAAGTCAAGGTAGGTACTGTATATTAATTGCTTGTCAAGATTAATCCATTGTCCAGCAGTCCTGTGAATCATAAATGTTGTGTTTGTTGTTTACTTAGTCAATAAACTTATCATCCCACCAGGACCCTAAGATCTTCTGGGGAGGCCTTGCTCTCTATCCCGCCTGCTTCACAGGTGCGGCTGGCGGGGACGAGAGACAGGGCCTTTTCTGTGGTGGCCCCTCGGCTCTGGAACGCCCTTCCCATGGAGGTAAGATCAGCCTCCTCGCTGATGGTATTCCGAAGAAGACTAAAAACTTGGATGTTCAAGCAGGCATTTGGTTAATTCAGTGCAATGAATGTGTTGATTACGGATTGGTAATATGGATGATGCAATTGGACCACGATTTTAGTTAGGAGATGTATTGGATTGTGATTTACGTGTAATATTGTGTATTATGTTTTTTATGGTTTTAATTGTATACTGTGCACTGTATATTTTGTTGTAAATCGCGTTGAGTCGCCAGTTAGGCTGAGAAACGGCGGTATACAAGGACAGTAAATAAATAAATAAATAAATAAATAAAGGGAAGCCATCTTTCAGCAAAAGGGGTGGCATTTATGTGTCTTTTTTTTTAGTCTCAAAATATCATAGCTTCTCCATCCATGTTTCACCTGCTGCTATCAATTCCCTATCAAGATGTCACTTGTGTTTTAGTTTGGGGCAGTTTCCAGGCTAGGAGTAGCTACACAGGGAAAGTAGTTACTTACGGTGCAATATTTTTGTTCCCCAAGAATACAGAAAGTAAGAAAATGTGATATCTTGTTTAATGATGTCTGAAATTGTGTTAGCTGCAAGAAGACAGAACTGGTTTATCTTTTGTGCATTCTATCTATATGTGCAAGCAAATCCCTTTACAGCAGGCATGGACACACTTGGGCTCTCCAAGTGTTTTGGACTCCAACTCCCACTATTCCTAGCAGCCTCACACCCCTTCCTTTTCCCCCTCGACCACTTAAGCTTGCTTTACAGCCACAAAACTTCCAACAATTAGCATTTGTAGTTTTTACAATTCCTATACAATAACATTGATATTAAAGCCCACCCGTTAACAACACAATTTTAAAACAGTTATTAAAGTCATGCCATTCCACAGTGGAGCAACAATTTGAACATTGCTCTCTAGAGTGTGGTCTAACACTTAGCTGAACAATTCCTGAGGCCTTGGGCTCCACTCAGTGGGGTTTCCTTTAAGCTTGCTGGGCTGATGTCTTTCTCTCTCGCCTCCCTTTAAAAAACTTTGAGTGGGTCAGTCCCAAAGCTGGGATCCCCTGGCCAATCATGTCATAGCAAGGAAACTTTCAGAGCCATCCTAGTCAAAGTGGTAGTCCATGATCTAGCAACTATCCATAAGTAATTGACTGTCAGCCCCTGAAGAGTTTGCAAGAAAGAGATTGCAACCAACGAGCACAAATACCACATTTACTCTAGTCTAATGTGCCACCAAATCTAACACCCTAATTTCAGCAAGGCAATTTAGCCAAAAAAAAAGGTGAGCATTACATTAAAGTAAGTTTGAGTAACCCACCCCCACCTCCTGGTGATATAGCTAGTATACTGCTGAGCTGCTGAACTTGCTAACCAAAAGGTTGGCAGATTGAATCCGAAGAGCAGGGTGAGCTCCCACTGTTAGGCCCAGCTTCTGCCAACCTAGCAGTTTGAAAACATACGAATGTGAGTGGATCAATAGGTAATGCTTCTGCAAGAAGGTAACAGCACTCCATGCAGTTATGCTGGCCGCATGACCTTGGAGGTGTCTGTGGACAATGCTGGCTCTTTGGCTTAGAAATGGAGATGAGCACCTCTCCCCAGAGTCAGACATGACTAGACTTAAGGGGAAGCCTTTACTTGTGACTAGCATGTTGGGGAGCAAATAGCCACCAAAAAGCTTGGGATGATGTATCTTAGAGCAGGTAATGCTATTAAGCTCAGGCCATCCCTCTGTAAAAGGACACAGAGAGTGGAGACATTCTAACTTCCCTTTGAGAGTATTTAGGGCCATGAGAAACCGTGTAGAAGAGCATCCAGAGGCCTTTGTCCTACCTACTCCTGTGGGTTCGGTCTTATGATCTGCAGAAATTCTGCCTCAATTCTCAAGAGTGAGAGACTGACCAATGGGTTGTTTGAATGGAAGCCTTTCATTGAAAAGTCCCACCTAAATGGGTCAAGAGCATAATTGTGAGATCAGGAGTGCTGTGGAGAAGCGCCTGCTGCAGTTCATTGACTTGCCCTGTATCCTTACAGTATAAGGTAAAATGGAACAGCTAAAATAATGTGGGGTACATACAAATTTTGGGTTTTCTAATGAAACCATCAGTCCAATTGGAAAACCACTTTTAAGACAATGATTTTTTTTAAAAAAAAAACCACCTAAATGCATGTCATGTTCTGTCAGGAAAAGTTGGAGGTCTATTTAAATAAGAAAGTCTTTGCCTTCACTCAGCCCAGTTAAATGCAAAGCAAACTGGATACCTGCCAGCTGAGTGCAGGCAGTGAAATCAGAGCAAACTGGTTTCCACTCTGGTACCTCCTCTAAAAACCCATTTTGCCCGGATGGTGATCATGTGTTCTCTGGCTGCATTTCAGTCTCCCTTCCTTTGAACTGCAGCATGTATTGATCCTTGGGGGAAGAGCTGGAAAAGAACCATGTTTTAATCGTATCTGTTTTAGAGACACACCCCAGTGCCCATGCCCTCATTTGACTTTTGTTGTAGCTTTTCGATCTTGAGGCTTCTTCCAGCTTTGCTTTTCCCAGAGAGGGATTATTCTCTTTTGTGCCAGTCTTTTAGATGTATCAGGCTACCTTTGCACTCCACCCTGGTGTTAAGACATCTATCTTCTGTTTCCAAATTATTATTATTATTATTAATTATTATTATTGCCCGCCTCTCTTTGTGGCTCAAGATGGGGTTTCCCCTTGACATTAAGTCTAGCCGAGTTAAACTCTGTGGGATAGTGCTCATCTCCATTTCTAAGCCAAAGAGCCGGCGTTTTCCATAGATGCCACCAAGATCATGTGGTCAGCACGACTGCATAGAGCACTGTTACCTTCCCACCAGAGCAGTACCCATTGATATACTCACATTTGCATGTTTTTGAAATGCTAGGTTGGCAGAAGCTAGAGCTAACAACGGGAGCTCACCCAGTCCTGTGAATTTGAACCACCGACCTTCTGGTCAGCAAGATTTGCAGCTTAGCGGTTTAACCTCCTGCACCACCATGGTTCCTACAACACAGAAATATTGTGAAAATACCACAAATGGATATCTACTAACAATAAAGCTTGTTAGCCTAGGATAAGTCAGAACATTAACATGTTACCTTTTTGGCCTGTTGTTGTTTGCCTTCAAACCATTTCTGATCTATGGTGACCCTGGTTTTTTGTTTTATTTTGTTTTGTTTTGCATGCTGCCGTGGCTGCAT